TTGCGACAATACTCCTCATACCTTAATTGTAGACTCTAAGCCTTTCTCCTTGATTCTTAGAAACCTCACGAAGCTTTTTCCTCAATCCTCAGACCTCACGAAGCTTTCTCCTCAAAGCTCTAGCCTCTATTTCTTCACTTTTCACGGTCTAACAACAATGAATCCTAATTTCCTCAAAATTCCTTTTTGTTAAACCTAACTTTGGGCCTTTAAATGGGCTTTCCAATTTCACTCTCACTAACTCCTCCTCAAATGTCCACTTTGCCCTTAAATCAACTTATATTTATTTAAATTAATAATAATACCAAATATATTCATATTATATACTATTATTTAAATAAATAACTCAAAATTCCATAATTTCCAATATTCACACCAACCACCGAAAATCACCAAAAATACGAATATTCATATTTACATAAATTATATAAATATTCCAAGAATTTGGGGTGTTACACCCGCAACTAAAAATAATCTCCACATCATAGTACTCATGGGAGTACCAAGCAATGTCGTCTGCTACCAAAGACATAATGCGTCTAGACCACTTCAACTTCTCTTTGTTCTCCATAAATGGTCCTTCCTTTAGCAAATGGGAGACATACCACTTGAACAACAGATGAGAACAACATTGAACCATCCATGTCTTCTTCTCACTCCTATAATGAATGGAGTGGTAAGTGTCAACAAGAAGGGTAGGAATAGGGCTCTTCTGAATAAAAAGAGTAATGGCAGTGATATCTATGAAATTTTCTATGTTTGGAAAGAGAATAGTCTCATAGATTATCAAAGCAAGAGACACCAAAACTTTTCCAATCTTCATCAGTCTTATAATGGATAGCCCTGTCAAGCAGAAACTTCAGAGGGAACCCAGGAGTACCTCCTTTGTTGGTTAAACCAGCATCCACCTCTTCTTTAGTCATACGGAGAGCAAGAGAAATGACAAGAGACTTTGGTTCTTCCTCTAAACCGGTGTAAATGGGTTGGTCTTTGATCTTGATATTCAACAGGTGGGAATATTCCTCAAGAGTGGGGGTCAACTGGTAATTCTGGAAGGTGAAGCATTTGAGCTGAACGCCAAAGAATTGAGCCATAGCAAATAGAGCCCAAATGTCTGCACCAGAATAAAGGAGGTCAAGTAATTTCCCATGTTCTCCTTGAAAATTGATTTTGATAGCTTTTGGCACGTCAATCAGAAGATCTTGGATGACTCCTAATTTTGGCTCTCTAAACTTCAAGAAGTTGGTGCTTATTTTCTTTTGATCAATCATTGTTCAGCAATACCTAAGATAATCACTATCTTTTAAGTCTCTTGATATGCAAAAATGTTATGCAATGCAATGCTTATGAATGCCCACCAGAACAGTCTCGTAGCACAAGGATCAAGGTCACAGATCCTGCAGGATAACATAACAAGGTATCTCTCACCTCGGATTGGCAATCTATTGGTTTACAATAGGGCATCCCAAAGGCTTTAAACAAAGTCCCATGCACTAACCCTCAAAAGTTTTCCATCATAATGAAGATTCGTAAGACAGTAATCCCTTCAAAGGATGAGCACATATTTATGTCTTAATAACCTTTAGAATACGGTTCTACAAAGTTCCTCAGAATCACGGACTCCCAGGTCGAAAATAAAGATGTCGTGTCGACTACTCGTAAGACATAATCATCCCAAAGGGGCCTCATCTAAGCGATGGAAATCAAACAAACTCAACGAGTCCTAAGTCTCACAAATCTAAAAGCAACCACCTCATAACTTAGTGTATACTATAAAAGCTCGGGTAGAAAGCCTTTCTCCTCACAAACTATCCCTAATAGACCCAATAGATAAGAGAAACACAACATAATAAAGCAACAAGAGCAAATAAATCACACATGCGACAAACAAATTGGATTTGGCTTGCTAGGTTTTTCCTTCCCCATCAGAGTCGCCAAGCTGTCGCTACTCAAAAAAATGCAACGACGGAGAGGAGAAAGGTGGAAAGACAGATGAGTCACTATCGAACTTTATTTATCCTGAAAGGGGATGGGAAAACATCGATAAAACCCCAAGAAGGAAATGGGTAAGACGGTCTCGCAACCAAAAGAAAGGGTTCGGAAGCCGGTTATGCAAAGGGAAGATATTAGCACCCCTCACATCAATCGTACTCGTTGGGAACCATTTACTTGTGTATGTGTGAGGATGTTGTTAAAGGATATTGCTTTCTAAGACTGTTCTAAAGGGAGACAGAAAGGTTGAAAAAATAAAGAGAAAAAAGAAGGGGGAAGAGAGGGAAAAGAGACTTGGTAGCACTTCGCAATCCTATATCTACGTGTTCTCAACGGGTATGATAAAGTCAGAGTCAACATAGTCCGGAGGACTACGGGTGACAAGATGGAAGGGTTCTCACCAAGGATTGGGGACCTTGTTCCTACGTATCTTCACTTAAAAAGAAGTAAAGAATCAGAGCGCCCGTAGATCAGACTACGGTTGTTGGTGTTCTTTTTTTTATAGATGATGCTAACGTACACATTCTAGCAGTTAGGTGTATTTCAACTCGCTTGTGGAGTCTTAGGCGTTACCTGTTTGCAATAGAACGGATGTAACATGTCCTTTTTGAAAAGAAATAATTTTCACCATCAAGGCAAGATGTCACATTTGATTTGTGAAAGTTATTTTTTTAAGATGAAATAAGTCTTTGGATAGTAACCCATTGCGGGTAGTACCCAAATCTTTCAATACGAAGACGTGACTATATTCGCCACACCATTTTGCCACCCCCTATATGTTTGTATATATGAGATATATTAATACAAGAATGACCATTACAAAGGTTGGTTTAACCTTTATTTATAATGCAAATGTATTCCAGTTATTCTTTGGTCTTCCACTTTTATGGTCTTAATGCTTTCATTTCATTCACAAATTTTATTTTAAAAACTCTTATATGTACGAATATATGAAAAATGTGTTTGTTGATGATCTTACTAATTTTGTTTTTGCTTATTTTGATTTTATCTAATGGGATAACTTACACAATTGTATTGGGGAAAGTTTTGGATTAAATGTAAACTACCTTATTTTAGATTTCATTAAACTCTTTTTCTTTGTTAGGATTGCACAATGTGTTCCTTTATCGAGTTTTATTCAATTGGACTTTTTTGATAAGGTTTTTAAAGAGGTAGTTGTTTAAATATATTTCATCTTTATATTTAGGTGTAGTCCATACAGAACCCCATATTATAATCAATATGTCAATGAATAAAATCAAATTGATAGCTACATATATATATATATATATATATATATATATATATATATATATATATATATATATATATATATATATATATATATATATATATATATATATATATATATATATATATATATATATATATATATATATATATATATATATATATATATATATATATATATATATATATATATATATATATATATATATATATATATATATATATATATATATATATATATATATATATATATATATATATTTGAATGTATATGATTCTCATTATTCTATCAAAACAAGATATAAATTAGATTATAATATTGTCTATTTAGATAAGTATATAATGTAAAAACATTTAAATTAGATTATAATATTTTTTATTAACATAAGGGTTTAATGTAACAACATTGATATTTTTAAGAAATTCACACACCTTTTCACTTGTGATGGGACTCATAAGGATATTAGAGTTTGATTTATGGAAGCTTTTGTCAATAAAATTGATATTTTTAACTTTGTTTGTGCTTAGTTTATTTCTTGCATTTTATTCATTAAAAATGATTATTTCAAAGGTTTGTTTAACGTTTAGATAGAATGCCACTTTACGATGGTCTTTAAAGTTTTATCTAATATAAATATTGTGTCTTAAGAATTTTTAAAGCAAATGGTCTAATTACCTCTATTTAATTATGAATTCTTATTTTAAAATCTCTCATATATACTCACCCTCTAATGTATCTACCCCATTCCGCTCCATTTTCTTCACAGACTTTTGGGGGTTCGAGCATTTATATAAATGTTTGCATTTTAAGGCTTAAAAGATGCAATGCCCACGGGCTTTCCCCGCCCATTTGCGGGCGGGTTAGCTTTTAGGCTCGCATTGTTAACTATGACCGCCCTGCTCCATCCTTTTTTTTTTGCGGGGCTAGCCTAAACGGGGCAGGCATGCCCATTTGCCACCCCTACAAATATATGAAATATGTATGTGTTAATGATCTTGCTAGTTCCACTTTTGGTTATGTTGAGTTAATATAATGGGATAATCTACCCAATTGTAATGAGAAAAATTTGTTTATAAGTAAATAGGAATTACCTTATTTCAAATTTCATTAAGCTTTATTTGTTTTCTATGTATTGCATTATTTTTTCGTTAGTCAAGTTTTATCCAATTGGGTTCTTTTAATAATATTTTTAATGAGTTGTTATTTGTAATTATTCTTTCTTTTAAGTTAGGTACAATCCTCTGAGTTATTTGATCTCTTTTACAAATTTTAATAAAATTTTATATTAAGGTGTTATTTTAGGTGGTATGAGATATACGATATTTATTTTGTTGAGATGTCTTACAACTTTTTAACCATTGGGTTTGTTTATTTTTTAAAATTAATTTAATTATACAACTAATTGTAAACTATTAATTTATTCTGAGTAACAAGTAGGAAGAATTTTTTTTTATTTTAATAATAATTACTTTCTTATTAATTAATTTCATTTTTACATGTAAATCTGTTAAAATGTTAAAATAATATACAAAAACAATACAGTAAGATAAAAGGTTTCTTAAAAATTTGTTGCAAAGTTTAGATTCAGTAAATCTATTATTTTTGGAGATAACAACATTTGGTACTTAAAATAGACATATATTATTGTTTGTTGTATAGTCTTTATTATATCTCTAATATTGTTGATAAACAATATAGGATCAACTGCATAAGAAATAAAATAATGTTCCTAAATCTCCCACTTATATTCGGTCCTTCAACCGCACGAATGAACACATGTACATAGGCCTAAGTCGCAGGACCCTAAACCATCAACATGTGCAGCTTTGCACCTTTTAACACAATCCCCAGCTGGACCACATGCTCCCAAATGCATTGTACATGGCTTTGCACCTTCAACTTGTTGTAATTCCATGTTCCAAACTAGTGTCGTAAAACATATTAAGGTTAATATCAAATTTCTTAAATTCAAATAATAAGCAAAATTTACATTTATCTTAAAAAACAAGAAGATAAATATATATAGTATCACAAATTCACAAGGAATGATGAACAATAAGGTATATACTTACCAGATACAACTAAAACTAGAATAACAAAAATTTGATTCAAGTTTGAGACGCGTTTCACCATTTTAAAAGATGTATTTTCAACTTTCTTCTTTTTTTTCGTTATCATCATATGTTTCATGTATTATTTAAAGACACTTTTTATTTTAGTCAATAAGTTTCAATGAATTATATCATCTCAAACTTCCCTATTTCTAGGTGTTGTCTTTAAAAAAAGAAAAATCATAATATTAAATCACAAGGAACTAAGGCCTTTGAAATGTATCTATTATAAGTATTCAAAAGAAAGAATAAAAATATATATTCATTGGTGCCCGTACATTTGAATCGTATTTATTATCATCCAACTTTTTATTGTAACTCCTATATGATAGATAAAATTACTTTTTAATGGTATGCATGGTAACTCAAATGATGTTAATCAATTCACTTTTATGATTATAGTTTATAATCTAAACCATTTTTCACAAAAACCAATTCAAAGTTAATTAAATAAAATTTTAGTAAATACTTTCAAAGTTATTAAACATTTCCATCTAATATATAATTATATAAAAATATGAATCATCACATCATTGATTCACCACTTTATATATTATAGACTTAACTAGTCTTTTGCTTCATGTGAGTTGGCGTATTTTTGATTTTGGTCCCTGTATTTTTTTTAGAAATAATTCCGAAATGTTAAAATCCTTTTGGTTTTAGTCACTAAAGTTAAACTCCACAGAAAACTCCGTAGAAAACTTGCGGATTTTAATTTTAGGGACTAAAACTAAAAAAAATTAAACATTTAAGGACTTTATCTAAAAAATAAAGATACATGAAGGAAAAGCAAAAACACTTCAATTTATAAGGATCAAAAGACTATTCAAGCCTATATTATATATTCAATCAATTTACAATGTTACTCTTAAACATTGCTATATACTAATTAACTTTTTAAGAGTATCAAATATTCTCAAGAGAATTAACTATTGATGTTACTATTGATGTCTTATTTTAGAGTCTTAGATAAAATTGATGGACTAGTAAATTTGGGTACCCAATAGCTAAATAAAATTGTTTTTTTCGATATTGATTTACTATTTGGTTCACAAATGAGTCACTTGTTATATTTAAGTATTTTGGGTGAATTTTATTATAAATAGAATAAATTGTATATCAACTTTCTATGGAATAACTAGCTTTTTTTTTTCACCCGAGTATTTCATATGGGAAAAAATGTCTTGTTTGTTCCTATTATCAATTAATAAGAATACAGTTGGAGAAGAAATAGGAAAATAGTTAAAATGTTACTTTGATAATTAGTTTGTTTGATATCTTAAGATACAAGCTACTATCACATGTATGAGACACACCTTAGGTATGGTGAACCATCACTCTCGTGTATATATTTTAATGATCACTTCATGAATGAACATGAGAAACTCTTCATCTTTATTGCTTTGTATTCATCCATCATGTATGGACCTTAATGATGATAAGATGGTATCGTTAGCAAAAACACCTTCTTTTCTCTTCAACGCTTCATCTTTTCTTATTTATCTTGCACATCTTCTTCATCATTCATTAATTTTGCTTATCTTTTGGTTTATTACATTCATCCGTGTAAGGGTCCTAATTGTGTGAAGCTCACCCCTCCTTTAAATGATTCTAACTATCATTTTTGTCATACTCGAAGAAAAGAGACATTGGTGCTAAAAATAAAATCTCTTTCATTGATATATCCATTAAAGTTTCTGAAACTATTGATCTCAACATAGTTGCATAAGAGTGTTGCAACTGTCTGGTTAATTCATGAATCCTCAACTAGGTCAATGAATCGATTGCTCACATTATTTTATTTTTACCAAATGTTTTAGATGTATGTATAGATCTAAAAGAATGACATTCTAAAGCTGATAGAATTCACGTCTCTAACCTTTGAGTTGAGATCAAAAATCTCAAACAAGGTACAAAGTCAACTCTTATTTTATTGAGATGCATGGATTATGGGAATTTGAAATATTGGATCGAACTCTAGTTAGAACTAAGAGCAAAGATCCTCACCGGAGATAGAATCAAGACAGATAGTCTCCACTGGGGAATATTCACAGCCGTTAATCAATAGGTTCAAATATGACCGGATGACGCGCTAGAACAAATGGCAAATAGACAAGCTCTTTACTGGGGATAAAACCATAAAGAAGTATGATCTCCACTGGGGATCAAGTTGAATAAAGGATTGATCTTCTTACTAGAGAATCAAACCAAACAAGAAAGTGATCTTCTAACAAGAGATCAAAGAAACTGAGAAATGATCCTTTGACAAGAGATCCGATAAATAATGGAGTTTATACAACAGAATGAACATCCAAACTTCCAGAAATTCCTTAAAATAAAGAGTTCAAACAGGATATTTAGGAATCACCAGGAAGAAACAAGGTAATTATAAACTTTGTAAGTGCCAAATGAATTGGACTTAGACCATAAGAAAAGGTAACAACTGGCTTTTGACAGGTAGATGCCAGTAACTGCTAGACTTCCAAGGGGAAGTTGGTGGCAACCAAACTTCTGATACCAAGCAAAGGTTGGATAGAAGTGCCAATAACAATTGGACTTTAGATACCAATAACAATTGGATTTTAAACAATGCTAGTAACAACTAGACTTACAAGGGGGCGTTGGTGGAAACCAAACTTCCGATACCAAGCAAATGTTGGATATGAGTGCCATTAAGAATTGGACTTTAGATACCAATAACAATTGAATTTTAAATAGTTCCAGTAACATTTGGACTCCAGAAAGAGGACTGGTGACAACCAGAGACTCCAATATCAATAGCAATTGGATTTTAAACAACGCCACTAACAAGTGGACTTTAGATACCAATCATAATTGGATTTCTGAAATGATACCAATGAAAACTAGATTTTAGGATACCAATAACCATTGGATTTCGAACAATACCAGTAACAACTAGACTTGAAAAGGAATTGGTGACGACCAGACAAGAAATATCAATAACAATTGGATTTTAGGAAATTCTAGTAACAAATGGACTTGAGATATCAATAACAATTGGATTTCGAACAATGCCAGTAACAACTGGACTTGAAAAGGAACTGGTGACGACCAGACCGGCAATACCAATAACAATTGGAATTTAGGCAATACCAATAACAACTGGACTTGAGATATCAATAACGAGTGGATCTCTGAGGTGATACCAGTGACAACTAGATTTAAGGATACAATTAACAATTGGATTTCAAATAATACCAGTAACAACATGACTTTAGGGACGAGTAACAATTGGATTTTAAACGATGTCAGTGACAACTGGACATAACATACCAATAACAATTAGATTTTAACTAATGTTGGTAACAACTTGACTTTACAGGGATACTGGTAACAACCAGATGAACATAAACTGGTAAATGTAATCTTGAAGATGCCAATGATAATTGGACTTGCAAACAATGGTGCTAGTAACAACTAAACTTCACGAGAACATTGGTGATGACTAGACAAACAATATCAAAAGGACACCACTAATAACTAGACTTTACAGGGGGGAGATGGTGACGACCAGGCAAGCAATACCAATAACGATTGGATTTGTGTCAAGTGCCAATAATAATTGGACTTTCACCAGAGATTGCTAGTAACAACTAGACTTTAAATATATGGTAACAACCAGATTTAACTAGACCAATAATGATGGGATTATAAGAACATAGATGCTAGTGACAACCAGGCTTCAAGGGAATATAGGTAATAACCAAAGTTAATAGGAATACCAGTGACAACTGGACTTAGGCATGAAATTGGTAATGACGAACGGTCTCAACAAAGGTGCTAGTTACAACTGGGCTTGGGGAATAAACTGGTGACAACCAAAGATCTTAATAAAAGTTCCAGTTACAACTGGACTTGGGGTCAAAGGGATAAAACCAATAACAAAGACCTAGAAAGATGCTAAGTGCACATGATATGGCCTGATGCAGATGCTCAATGATATGCAAAAGCCGACTCTAAAGAGAGACAAAGAAACTGGAGACTCAAGGGAGAATATGTAAACATGTCCACTCCGCCGGGGAAACAAAGAGTCACATTGAATCTAAGGAATAAAGGAATCCAGAGGTTCACTGGGAAATACACCCACTTCACTTAGGGAAGTAATGAAGCTATGGCATTTTGCTAGGGAAATACAATATAACTTCGGTAAGAATAAAGGGGAACTCTACCTAGGATAAAAAATTCAACATTCAGACATGTACCACATGGAGGATACTGGGAAGATTCTCTTCAGTTTTGGTAACCACACACAACCAAAGAATCAATCCAAAGAGGTATTGTCAGTTCATGATTTAATGGGGAATTTGTTGAAATAGTCTAACAGTGTTTCTGCCACCTTAAAACTTCTTGGGGAACATGTGATTTCGCTAAATCATTCCACAAGCCATAACAAATTTATATTTTTCATTGTGTTTTCAAAAAAACTATTTTTAATTCAAAACTTTCCGCTTTCAAAATCATTATTAAGAAATAAATGACATTTTGCATAACAAGGAAAAGTAAAGAAAAGGGTAAATGACAAAAATTGAATGGTCCAAAATCTGATTTTATTTAAGAATGATAGCTTGCAAATGGCAAAGTTCCATGGAACATTAAAATTTTGAAAATGCCAATAGGGAAAGGTTACATTGAATCCAATGACAACTACTAGTCCTAATAACTAAGAATCCCCAAAACATTGCTTCTAACGACAACGACTGGCTTGAACTTCTGCTTGGATTCTTCTACAATGGTGACAACCAATCTGATGCAGTGAAATGTCTTTTGCCCCTAACTTTTTCCTGGACCGCCCTTTCGAGTTTTCAATCCACCGGGATGCTCATTTTTGCCTAAGTCGCCCTTTCTGGTTTTTAACTTAGCGAGCTTTTTATTTTTTATTTTCATCCCTAATTTTTTTCCTAGATCTCCTTCATAGGTTTTGATCCACCAGGATACCCATTTTTTCCTAAGTCGACTTTCTAGGTTTTCGACTTAGCGGGATCTTTAGGCATAATATTTTCT